AAAATCAAAACAGCAGACAGACAGACTCTGAAAAGGACACACACAGTTACAGCAGATTTCTTTCACCATGTGCTGTGAGCAGCTGGGAGAAGATGAATACTTAATCAGACAAACTGTTTAATCTCTTTGTTGCTGCAGCTCCAACGATGCACTTTTTAAGTCATCATGTGAGAGCTGCTCTCTGCTCTGACTCATTTAAATTCACACTCTTGTGCACATACATACATACATACATACATACATACATCATAAGAGTGAAGCATACTGTATTCATGACGAGAACAGGAGGTGGTAGCTCCCCTGATGTCCCTCTGTGTTCTGCCGGGGGGCTCTCCAAGAGGCATCTCAAATATTCACAAACATCCATCAATGCCTGAAAGGGTCAAAAGACGAGCCACAGTCGCACTGAATCAAACGCACACAGATACACACACACACACACACACACACACACACACTTGGAGGCCACACACACAAACGTAGCATAACACATTCAATTAGTTTTCCTCTCTGCTGCTGGACTTTTCTTTAATCAGGATTTTTCTATCATCTCTCTTTCTCTGAGGCGTGCAGAAGCAGAAGAAGTGTGTTTCAAAGGCACCTGAAGGGCTCTTAGTGTCTTCAACAAGTGCATTGTGTGTGTTTATGCGTTGTGGTAAAGTATGTATGTGTTTGAAAGTGTGCGGTTAAGCTTCACAGCTTTATGACTGCCTGTAGTAGGTGTGGTAGGAAGGCCCTGTAGACTTTCATAACATGATCAGGCTTATGAGCTCTAGTTTCACTGTAATGATCACACTATCGCTCCACACTTACAAAGTCCCCGTCGCAAGAATAGAGGAGAAGAAAGAGGAGATGCCACATGCGAACAGAACAGCTAATTAGCTCCGCTAAAGCTGTGCTAAGATGCTTTTGGGAGCTTTTCTTACATTAAAGAAAAAACAATGAGCTGATGCTAAAGGGATTTGTTGTTGTTGTTTAAAAAGCGTTGTTCTCTTTTCCTCTTCTCACCTGGTCTCTGGCTTATAAGGCCAAGAGCGTCTACTAACTGCTCATTACTAAAGGCCTCACTCGTTAATCTGGCACTTGGACAAAAGAAAATAAAAAAGCCTTCCGTCTGTGCATTCACACTTGAAACCACCAAAAACCACAAACACACACGAGACACGCGTCCTGTTTCTCTGCAGACTTAGTCAACAATAACACCTTTAACAAGATCAGGGTTTATTTTCTGCTCCTTCAGGTGAGAGCAGAGAGAGAGTTAGAGTTGCAGAACAGTTTATTCAAACTTCAAAATACATCATTTGATGACTTCCTGTTTTCTACATGCAGAGGGCGGACTCAGGCTGTATGAGGGGGCCGCGGTACAAATATAAAAGTGGGCACTAGCTGCATGTGGAGGGGCAGCAAAACATTTTTAAAAAACATTTTTAACATCTAGTCTAGTCGGTCTTTTGTGTTAAGTTTTCTTGACTGAAAGGCATTTTGTTTAGTTTTCCCTTTTAAGATTTATTTTTAGGCTTTCTGTGCTTTATTGTGGAGATTTAAGACAGTAGACAGAGTCAGAAACTTGGGTGAGAGAGAGAGTGGGGTATGGGTCAACAAGTGGAAAAAGGAGCCAGAGGTCGGACCCAAACTTGTGGCTGCCCACCCTGAGGATCACAGCCCCCCACACACATGGGGCCAAGCACCAACCACTGCACCACCCTCATTTTCTCCATTTAAGTCAATCTTGGAACACAATTTGTTTCAACATGTTTCCCCCACAAGAAGGTCAGTCAAGATGGCCCTGTTACAGCAGGATTTTAAAAGAGAGTAAGAGAGAGAGGTAAAGGTGAAGATGAGCTAGCTCTTTGTTCTCACCCATAAAATTATACTGTTCATACAAATACTGTGAATCACAGGTCACAAGTCGTCCTGACAGCAGCAGCACTTCATTTAAAAAACTGGCAGCGTTACCTTGACTATTTCTCTACTAAAACTGTGCAATCTGTTGAAAACTGGACAATATTAATACATCAAAAGAGCAATCTATACATGAACCGTGCAATATGTACGCTGTTAATCCATCAGTGTGTATTCATTCTTGTAAATATTGTTTATATTCTCAATGACCTGTGCTTGAACATAGCTTATTACTTATACTACTTTATTATTGCTTTCACTTGGTACTTCACTTATTATATTGTTATACTATTTTTATTTTATTTCATATTGTGAACTTATCTGTACTTCCTACTGATTCTTGGTGTTATGAGCAACTGTAGCAAACACATTTCCCCCTGGGATTAATAAAGTATTCCTGATTCTGATTCTGATATACAGTAAAGTATTAGTGAAGGATATTTCAGCAGTCAGCTTGTGTTCTTTGCATTGACTACAGTTTACGCACAGCTCTGCAATCTGACAAAAGAATAGAGAGAAATCTTAAAAATGACATAGATATATAGACATAGATGAGATAAATCACCTTCCAGGTCCAGTCAATCAAAGAAATCCTTCCCTGTATGTGTGTAGATGATCGAAAGCTTTCTTACACACAAACAGTACTCAAGCAGACTGTCCACAATATGTCCAACATGCTAATACCTTGACCTCCTTAGTAAAGTTTTTATGAATCTCTTTCCACTCTTCTGGTCTGGACGCTCCTCTGATGTGTTTTTAAACCTGACCAGCTTTTATGGACACATTTTTTGGCAAATATTATAATAAAAAAACATGAAACATACTGTACATTAAAATAGAGGAAGCTTTAGAGTGTCGTAGATTGTTCCCCGCTTGTTTGTACCAGCTGACAGAAAGGCATGGACCAACCATTTCTGGAACCATTAGGACTACAAAAGATCCCTTCTGACATGAAACCAGATATATAAAGAAATGTGACTTTTACTATGATTTTATTGACCTGATGGTCTGTTTGATAAAATTCTTGTTTATTTGAAAAGTGAGATATCAACTGATCTGCTGTTCTAGGATGGAGGAGAGAGTATAAAAGAAGGCGACTGGCTGCAGCCTCCTCTGCTGGTCAACTGAAACACTCCTCACTATTGAAGGCCTCTCAGTTCTTACTCGTTACTCTTTACCCCCCCCCCCCCCAAAGCACTGCCTGTTAAATGCACTCTTAGTTCATTGATAATTTAAATTGGCAGGGCCAAATCTCAAGATCTTATATTTATTAAAAGGCTGCAAAACCACAAAGTAGTTGAACCCGGTGACCCCCCCCCCATTTCCTCCTTTGCTACCTTTAAAAGTGTGAGTTTCCTCTTCCTGTTCTTCTCAATCAGTTGAGTATGTGGACACCTCGCTGGTTTTGTGCAGACATAAAGGAAATGAGCCGACTTAGTGTGCTAGAGCAGTGGTTCTCAACTGGTCGAGACGTTACAAAGTGTGTTAGAACAAAGAAACTGATGAAACAAACTTTTGCGACCCACTTTTGGATCCTGACCCACCAGTTGAGAACCATTTGTGCTAGAGGCTTATTTATGTGTTTTGTGGAGATAATCGATAAGGGTAATATCATCCTGCAGAAACACAGACATATTACCAGATGAATCTGACCTAAGTTACTTAAAAAAAATATGTGAAGTAATAAATGAAAGAAGAAGTTAACTTAAGAATTGTTACAGAAAATAAAATAAACCAACAAAACATAAATATTTAGTCAACTGCACATTTTTATTAGCACAAACAGTCAACACATACAACATTATGTAGCACCTGAAATGGAACTGATGTAAGGTAAGGTAACTGTATTTAAACCCAAAAGTAGATTTGGTTTAAAGTGAGTGAGTGGGCCTCATTTTACACACAATCAACAACACAGAACAGGACAAAGCATGACAAAAGTGACAACAGTGCTCATTACTAAGAAGATAATCCTGAGTAAAAAAAAACAAGATAAAGTAACCAATCAGAAAGAAGAAAGCAAATAAAAAGCAAGAAAACGAGACAAATATACCACCAATCAGTAAAAACATGGTAAGCAAAAACAGCCTATATATGACATTAAAGGCTTTATATGTGATTTTTTGATCCAGCAGATGTCGCCCTTGAGCACCAGCATGAAACCAAAACAACTCGCGCTGCATTGTTGTGTTAGCATGCTAATGCTAGTGATCTTTATTATGCTGGTATCTTCACACTGCATGTAAATTTACCTGAAATGAGCGTGATCTAGAAACACAGTTAAGCAGTGAGTACAGTATGTTATTCTTCTTTTCTCTAGTCCCTCAATTAAACAACTTTTATACACGAGGGGAGGAGTCAGCCGGCCGTCCGGGCGATGTAAACAAAGTGAAGATAGGACTCTGAAAACTGTGAAAACATCACAGACAGTGGGACTCGGGTGTTACACCCATTGTAGACAGTCATGACTCACAGAGTTATTTTCAGAGGAGATACTGGATTTCTACATTTAAGTGTGAAAAATCACAAATTAAGACTTTAAGCAGACTTGAACTGGAGGTCTCTATCCCAACACTGAAAACACAATAAAATGTTTGATGGTGTAAAATAAACACCTTATGTGGACAGATGACATCACTACATTTGTGTCTTTAGTTTGTCAAAAGTTGGAGTGGTACAGATTTGTATTTCTAATGATCAGGCATCTTGGTGAGTTTCTTTCCCTGCTGTTTAACTCAGTGACTCATCAAACACAGATTAAACAATGACAGTGCAACATTAGATAGTTCAAGTTATTTTTTTTTAATGTGAGAAACCAGAAATGACATATTCATGTCATTTAGAGGAAGTGTATTCTAGAACTGAATTTAGATGATGGTTTAAGTGTGACTTTAAAAGACATGCATAACTGCACATGTATATAAACTAGGCTATATATTCCATGTGTATATATGACTCTAAAAATGATGTGGGAAGTAATATACCCTACGTGTGTTACCATTTTAGAGTTCAGCTATACGCACACCATGTTCCAAAAGGTTTGAGTGAAAGGAACGTAACTGTAGTTGCCAACCACTTCCTCTTCTCTGACTCTCCTTCACAGTTATACTCCAACACTGAACAATAAACTCTCAGTCTGTTTGATGGTCATCATGTTTCATCCAAACCAAGCAGCTCTGCTCTCCTTATTATTTATGCACGGGGTCTTTGCAGGTAGAGTACAACTTTTGTGTTTTTTGCAATGCATGCTTTTCTCAAGGCTAAGTTTTGTATCTGTTGCATATGTATTAATTGTTTTTTCATTCTTTGATTTAAGCAGATGAAGAAGGCAACCACAAGAATGAAGAGGTGTCCAGAGGAGGCTCTGTCATTTTTACTTGCAACACATCAAGAGAAAATACAAAACAAATCAACTGGAGCAAAGGCAGATTTCGTTTTTCTCATTTAATGAAAGGAAATGTGACTGTTTCAAATTTCACCTCTGACAGACTGACAATAGATCTATCCTCAAAGCTGATTATTTCTAATGCTCAGGAAGATGATGAAGGACTATATACATGTAATTTAACTGAATCTTCAGGGTCAACGACTTATCGGTGGAATTTAACCGTGTCTGACAAACCTGAAGGTAAGTAGAGCTCAAAGCTGGTCTCCTCACTTAAATAAAAGTCATAATGAATGTGTAAGCTCTGATGACCTGCAACATAAAGTCATTCACATCTGATTTTACACAGAGGAGAAGTCATCGGGGTATTTCCTATACATACTCACAGCTGGGATCGGAGTGGTACTGTGTTGCATCATTTCAGCCACATGCCTCTGTAGGTGAGTAAAACGTTCTCTTTCTAAGCCTGTGAGTAAATTAGTTTTTTTCTTTCTGCTGCTTTGTTTCAGAATTAATTGATGTGGTTCTAAACACAGACATCCTTTTTCTGCTGTACACATTTAAACATGTCACTTCATTTCAGTTACAGATGTGATCACTCTGACTCTGACCCCTTTGTGGTCTCTTGCCATGTTGTAAATCTTAGTTTAAAACATGCAAGTTATCGGGGCGTGCTGGTGGTGCAGTGGTAGGGCGCGCGTCCCATGTATTGAGACTCTCGTCTCGAGTGGTAGGCCCGGGCTTGCCTCCACCCGTGGCCCCCCTCCGCATGTCATTCCCCGCTCTCTCTCATTGGTTTCAGACTCTATCCACTGTCCTCTCTCTCTCTGGTTTCTGACTCTATCCACTGTCCTCTCTCTCTCTGGTTTCAGACTCTATCCACTGTCCTCTCTCTCTCTGGTTTCAGACTCTATCCACTGTCCTCTCTCTCTCTCTAGTTTCTGACTCTATCCACTGTCCTCTCTCTCTCTGGTTTCAGACTCTATCCACTGTCCTCTCTCTCTCTCTGGTTTCAGACTCTATCCACTGTCCTCTCTCTCTCTGGTTTCAGACTCTATCCACTGTCCTCTCTCTCTCTGGTTTCTGACTCTATCCACTGTCCTCTCTCTCTCTGGTTTCAGACTCTATCCACTGTCCTCTCTCTGCATTAAAGGCACGAAAAGCCCAAAATAAATCGTTAAAAAAAACAAAAAAACATGCAGGTTATTGCAGATAAAAAGTCAAGTCAAAGTCAAAGTCAACTTTATTTTCAATTTCAAAATATGCCAGACATACAGTGGAATCGAAAGCAGTGTTACTTCATGCTCTTCGTGTTAAAATTGGAGTCAGGATGCAATAGTTTGTCTAAATTCAGTGATTCAATATTTACATTAAAAATGTTTATGGATCATTTGAATGCACAAGACGTTCTCATAGTCCACTGCACAGCTTCTACATTACACCTTTTGTGTTTTTTATATTTAATATTTTACATTTTTAAATTCTATTTTATATATTGTAATATCTTCTTATTCTGTATTGTTGGGCCACGCAGGCTTAGAACAGTCAGGCAGTGGACTTGGGCCTGCACCTCTGTAAAAGCCTCATTTGAGTTATTCACTGAGATCACAAAGAGGCCTAAAAGGACTCTTAATCCCAGAATCCCCTGCGGTACTTCACACCTACGTGTGAAGTAAAGGGGGGACCGGAACCTCTCTCTCCTCATTGGAGGGGACCTGAGGTAGACCCCCATGGAGCAGGCCAGGCTACAAAACTCCAAGACTTCCATTGCTCGCTCTCTTTCACGCGCTGACCTTCGGTGCTCGGAGACCCAAGAAGATCTCCTGTTTCCTGCAACAATCTTCCTTTGTTTTAAGTTTTGGCGCGCAGGTAATCCGCGGCCGGCAGTGTTCTAAATTCCGAGCTCGGATTGTCCAGTGAACACATCTCAGTTTCTCGGAGAGCGTCAGACTATAACAGATTATCAGAAAGATAACGGTCTTATTCCGTCCTGCAACGAAAGGACATCAAAGGACATCTTTCCACTCGACGGAGAACCAACGAAGCCGCTCTCGCCGTAAGGGACCCTCGCCGCCATCAGACGCCTCTGCACCAGGACGGACAGAAGATCTGCTCCATCGCCGGACTCTTTTCCTTTCACCAATTGCGGACAAAGCGATTCACAAGTGAGGCTTAATTAGGTCTGGGCAGAATTAGCTTTAGAGAGTGTTTTTAACAATTGTTGATCAAAGCAGAAACTGTAATTTTTATCTTTGTTGGACCTGCGTCCTGAGTTTTAACTGTTTAAAACTCTTGTTGTTTCGGACCGCTGCGTCCTATATGTGTTTAGCGTAACAGCGTTATAACCGGGTATTACTCTTCTGATCAGAAAGGCCAGTGTAAGCTGTATTAACCTGAATTCGGCTATTGGTTTGTTTCTGTGAATGAAGGGAATTACTCCGAGTTGTGGCGCGGGAGTCGGACTGTGATCCGGCCTCTTCAGGCACGCATTTCTCTTTTATTCTCTTTTATTTCCCCTTCTACGCACACACATACACACATATTCCTGTGTAAACGTACATCTGGAGACCAACTCCACCACCGCGCCATTACGCACAGAGATCTATACACTCGCGGCTATCCAGACGCCTCAGAGACACAGACTGTGTAGGGCCGAACTCAGTCTCTTTTAGACCTTAAGGCCACATTTAGGCCTTTGTTAGGTGTGTGCCATCGGAAGGGCGACCACGTGGGACGAAGTAATCTTCCCCCCCTTCTCTCTCCCTTTCATCCACACGCGCACGCACCCAGGTCTTTGTTAGGTTTGCGCCATCGTGAACGACCACGAGGGTACGAAGCCATCTCCCCCCTTTCTTCTTCTCTCTCTCTCTCTCTCTCTCTCTCTCTCACACACACACACACACACACACACCTACATTCACACCCTTCCACAAGCCTTTGCTTGATAATGTTTGTTGCTTAGATTAGTTTATAATAGTTATTTGTTTAATTAAGTTCATTGATTTTGGATTGATGTTGCTTTGTTTAAATAAATTCTGTTATAATTTAAGAGAGCAGTTGTTTGTGGTTACTGGTGTATTTACATTGTGATATAAGCTGGGTGCGAAGGCTTTGTGTACGGATTTCACGCCTTCAATTTATTAAATATAGTTATTCATTATTAATAATATTAGTAATTAAATAACTAATTTGAGACTGATTTGAGTGATATTTTGGTTATATTTACCTGATTACAGGTTGGTGCCCCAAAACGAGATTAAACATAGTTTAATGATATTTTATTTATATTATTAATAATTAAGTATAATTATTAAAGAATATAACCAAAGTTGACTTGATACAACCCCAACAAATGGTGCCCCGTGTGAGGCCTTCAATAAACCAGCTTTATTGCACTGTAAATGCACAGTAATCCAAACTTAAAATCCTAAAAAGGATCCTTCGGAAGAAAATTATATTTTCTTTAAATTTTTGTGGTTTAAGCAAAGCAGACATCAAGCTGTGGCTTAGTTGTGTTGTATGTTGTTAGTTAATGGTTAAAGCCATAACTGTTGTCCCCTTTGGGTCCATACAACAATTGGACATAATGATGCAGCTAGTGTGACTTTATCAAGGAACTTGATTTGTTGCATTAATCTAGATTTTGATCCTGAAGTATTCTACTAAAGGATTGTGGTGCTCCTTGTTGTTTGAGAGCCATTTGGCCAGATGAGAGTGTAACCTCATCATTGTTGCATAGCCAGCTGTCTGAGAGGTGTGAGTTCCTCCTTCCTTTGAGGACTTGAGGTGTGAATCCCCTCTCCTATCTTCCAGGATAGACTGCAGTGATCAGTTGGGAAACTTAGATAAGATTTGCTCTTGTGTACCAAGACCCTAGGTGAGTCGGGGGCTGAGACTCCTTTTGGATCAGACGACGCAGCACTGCAAGAAACTGCTGCCGGTCTGACGAACCTCTCCTAGAGAGAGTGCCAACCTATATAGCTAGTCAATTAGCATTAGTGATAAGAAGTAAAAGAGCTAGTTGATCTTGTCAACACCACAGAGCCAGGCTCACCCCTAATAAAGACAGAATGTATGCAGAAGACATACATCAACTATGGGCCAAAGCTCACTATGGATCAGACGATCCACCCCTTCAAGACATAGTTGCTAATCTTATCCACCTCCCTATAGAGCAGCTCGACAGCCTGAACTCCTACACCCTCAGCACATGTGAAAAGAAACTAAAGGGCTTGGTTGAATATGCAAATCAACAACTGGGAAGCCAACACGTACAGTTTCAGATGTTCTAGGCGAAATTCTCCTCCTTTTATCAGCGCAAATCAAATGTGCAGAATGAGATACACGGGGAACAGCTAGCCCGGGTACTAGAAGAAGGACAGATCCTGCGGGACGACTTCGAAAGAAT